TACAGATAAAGACTTGGCCCTGCCTGGCATCCAAGCTTGTGTTGACATCACTGTGTTGTAGAATCGCACCAATGATATTATAATTACCACAAGCACTGCATCATAATCCCTTATAAATATATATAGCTGTAGGGATAAAATATTTTTACACCTGGCCCTCATAACTACTCTTCGATGTAGGCAGGGGAGGCTATTAACCTGGCTTTACAGAAAAAGACAGATTTTGAGAGGTTAACTGCCTCTACCAAGGTTATACGCCCACAGGTAATTAGTAGAGCCAAAGCTGAAACCCACATCATCAGACTTCTTGTTCAATGTTCTATTAGCACTCTTGCTCACTCTACTAGCACAGAACTGCATGAAACAATTTTGTTCTCTACTATACCCTTTGTGTCTAGAACACTGACACATAGTAAGAGCCCAATAAGTCTAGGCTCAATAGCTCACACCTGTAATCCCAGCACTTTGGGAGGCCAAGGTGGGAAGATTGCTTGAGGTCAGGAGTTCAAGACCAGCCTGCGTAACATGGTGAGAGCCTCTACAAACAATTAAAAAATGTAGTCAAGCATGGTAGTATGTGCCTATAGTCCCAGCTACTTGGGAGGCTGAGTCCCAGCTACTCAAGGAGGATCGCTTGAGCCCAGAAGTTTGAGGCTGCAGTGAGCCATGATAGCACTACAGAACTCTAGCACAGCAGAATAAGATCTTGTCTTAATAAAAAATAGCTCAATAAGCATTTCCTGGATAGAGAAATAAATATGAGATACCATTAGCACATAATAAAAGTGCTACTTAATATTGCTGAATTATTATTATCAGGTCCATCAGTAATGATATGGCTCTATTTCATCTATTTGGTTATGATTTAAATGGGCTGTCTCTTTTAGCCATATGCTGGATATAAGTTATGCTTAAATACTCACTAGAAACATCCAAGGGGGAAAAAGATATACTAAGAGGGTCCAGAGAAGCAAATGAGAAGGGAGGAGAAAGTGGTGAGGAAACCAGAGCCCCTGTGTAGTCTTCACATTCCACCCACAGGAGGGGTGGCATTCACCATTTGGTAGGAGTTACTAGAGCCAACAGTCCAGAGAGGAACTAAAAAGCCCTCTCTAAAATATAATCAAATTGTGATGATTCAATAGAAACATCGCCTGCCCAGCATATGCTTTTAGACAAAGGGATTTACTCTTTATTTATACATTTAAGTGCCTAACGTGATTTTGTTATTTTTGAAAATTAAATACAAATAATGGCACATAAATTCAATTAAGATACTATGATAATGTTCTTGAAACTTAAGACTGGCATTGTTTATACTTTACAATATTTTTTACATACTAGCCTGCTTTATTTTACATACTAGCCGGCTTTATTTAAAAATAAAATCAGTCTTCTAAATTTTCAGAACAGCTATTCTTCGAGAGACCCTAGTAAATAGTACCACCATCCACCCAGTTGCTCAAGCCAAAAATCTAGGTTTATCCATGATTCTCTACCTCCCCTCAGCCCCCGTGTTTAATTAATCAAGTTTGACTCAACCTCCAAAACATCAAGAATCTGCTCACTTTTCTTTGCTTCCAATACCAACACTTCATCCAAGCCACATTAGGGCCTCACTGGGGCTTTTGCCTTTTAGCATATTACTTTTACCTTCCTACCAACCCATTCCCTACCTAGCAGCTGCAGGAGATGAGAATATGCCACTCTAAAAAGGAAGGATCGTTGAGCTGAAGGCAATTAGGAAGAAGCAGATGCAGGAAAACCCTCTGCTCTCCCTCTATTTGTCTAAAAGCAGGACAACATTGACATACATAAAAGATATCTCCCTCCCTGTGCACCAGGGAGAACAAAGGTTAACCCCTGAAGATAACACAGAACCCTTATCCCCTGGAGGTGGTACCAGGAGAATCCACATGAATAAGCTATACCAACTAGCCTTTATCTGCCAGTTGCTTACCGTCCCTCAAATTGCCATCCCTAGAAACAAAGTCTTCTTCCTCTGCCTTGTCACTTCTCTAAACATTTATCATTTTGTTGAAGATGCTATTTAAGCTAGAATTTAAACCCACCTCATTGAGAACTACTCATTCCCTGGGTGTTTGCCATGTATATAGGAAATACATATGTCATTAAACTTCTGTTTTTCTCTTGTTAATCTGTCTTTTGTAACAAGGGTTCATTCCAACTAAGAACCTATGAGGTTTGAAGAAAAAAAGTTATTTTTTTCCCCTTAGATAGCCAGATGGATCCTTCAAAACTACGTATGAGTTCACGTTACTCCCCTGTTTAAATCCTTCCAGTGGCTTCCACTGCATATAGAATAAAACCCAAACTTCTAACTCTGACTTATATAGTCTTTCTCTCCCTCTTGTCTCATACTCCACTGCTCTCCCAGCTCCCAACCTGCTTCCAGCCACATTCCTCAAACACACCCCAGCTTATTCTCACCTGAGAGCTATTTCTATCCGCTGAGCGGGAAAGGCTCCTCCGTCTTATATTTGAATGTCTGGCTTTTTCTTTTAATTTTTATTTTCTTTAAATGTCACCTTGCCCAAGTGTAACGAAGTACTACTATTTTTCTAAGACATAATCATTTTTTTCTCATTCCCCAAGTTCCCCACTTCCTACTTAGTGCTTTAGAAATGCAAATATACGGTCATTCCTGTAATCCCAGTACTTTGGGAAGCCCAGGCGGGCAGATCACCTGAGGTCAGGATTTCACCTGAGGTCAGGATTTTGAGACCAGCCTGGCCAACATGGTGAAACCCCTTCTCTACTAAAAATACAAAAATTAGCTGGGTGTGGTGGTGGGTGCCTGTCATCCCAGCTACTCGGGAGGCTGAGGCAAGAGAATGGCTTGACATCCAGGAGGCAGAGGTTGCAGTGAGCCAAGATCACTGCACTCCAGCCTGGGTGACAGAGTGAGACTCTATTTCAAAAAGAAAAAAAGAAATGCAAATATATAGCCTTTTACCTCCCCTTCACCAGACACTCCCTATAGAGCAAATTCATCTAACTGTGTGCTTGGGAGAGATCCAGAAAGAAACCCTCACCCACCAGAAGATTGCCTGGAGAGATAACAGCTGATTCTATGGGCCCCCATCACTCGACCAGGAGACTGCCTCGAGAGATATGAAACTCTCTTCCACCTGGAGAGAATTTGACCTAGTCCTGCACAAGAAGGCACCAGCAGTTACCAGCTCGACTGCCCGGCAGCTAAGGTGCTGGAGCCAGTTCGTGGACCTCCCCTTGCTAATTACCTCCCCTGCCTTTTAAAAGTGCCAGCTTTCTGCTCCAAAAGTGAAGCAGTTACGCTTAAAACAGGAAGGCTGTATTCCTTCCCCAAAGCTAGCTTTGGAATAAATCACCTTCTTTATACCAGACCCCTTCTTGCTAACTGGACTCTGCAAGCAGCAGGTAACTAATCTGTATTTCGGCTACACAAGTGGCCTTCTCTAAAACTAAGCAAGTAGTCACATTCCCCACTTTAATTCTCTCCAAGCCACTGACCACTATATGAGAATTCTCTTGGTTTATTTACTTCTTAGTTAATTTTCATCTTTCTCTCTTCAACCATGAGAAAGATAACAAATTGGTAGGAAGCCTTATCTGTTTTACTTACACCTAGATCTCTAATGCCCAAAAGAGTGCTTAACAAATAATATGCACCCAATGAATGCTTGCTTCCCCCCCACCCCAAACAGATTTATTGAATACAGCAAAATTCTATATACAAAGTGACCTGGACCTGCTGCTTTAAAACATGATCCTTTCTTACTACTAGCTTGATAGATCAGTCCATAGTGTTAAAAAGCAATTCGCTCTTAAATGAATAGAAAAGTGCCCACTGCACATTCAATGAATGGCCTAACTACTGGAACTTTAGTAGTTCTGTAAGATAATTAACATAGGTGGGATTGAGTTCCAATGACAAGCTGCTGAAGGACAGACAGGAGACATCAAGAGGCCATTTTGTGATGCCATCAGCTTCTGGATCATAACGTTCCCATTAGCTGATTCTGAACACACCACAGCCATGTCAGTGGGATCAGAGGCTGGCTTAGCTGCTTGCTGGGCTAGAACCGATATCACTCCAGCATGCTCATCTGACTGGGTCCCATGGCAACCCAGATTAAATCCTTGTGAATGTCTGCACAGGACTCCAACAATAGAGTGGCTCTTCATTGTGTCTTCCAAGTGCTGCTCCGAGGTCACCTCCATCCCACCAACCATCCACCCCAGCCCAGAACCCTGAAAACTTGTTGAAGGAATAAAAATCATATGTATCGCACAATTAAATTTTTATTAAAACGGACACTATATATAGCTATTTATGTTGACTATAGAAGCAAAGGAAAAAGTATGAAAAGATACTGAATAATGAATATTAACTTTCTCAGGGAGTTAGTGAAAGAAAAATAGAGATTTCTTTGAAAAACCTGCACTATTTAATTAGTAATAATAAGTATATATTTCTTTTTGGAGTTGAAAAGCAATTCAATAAATATAAAATGAAAAGAGAAGGAATATTCTTTTAGCTGGGGAGACAAACTCATGACACAACTCTACATCTACTCCAGAAGCCAACCAATGTTACAGCAATCTTGTTCTGCTAGCACTTTCTCTATTAACAGATGAAAGTAAACAATTTAGAGACATCTGTAATCATATGTATTAAAGTATTTCAAAGCCGTAAAGAAAGGGGTAAATTCAGTCATAAACAAAGAGAATTTTCTTATAAATTCTGAAATGCCCAATTAGAACAAAATTATATATTTAGAGCAGTCCGAAGAAGGTAATATTTATATGGTTAAGTTCTACCATATTTACTAAAAAATTACTTTATAATCAATACTTCAAATACTTTCTATTTTGGTCAGGGAAATTTTCCAAGAGTTTGGAATACCAAATACTGAATAACAAAAATGTCTGCGTTGGGAAAAATGCTCATAACAAATCCAGCTAATTCATTAAGAGCTAATTGGAAACAACCTTACCTCAATAGAAGATGGAGAACCTGATGGCACTGGAAAAGGTGTCACGGCCATTTGATTGACTGCGTCCTCATTTCTGCGAAATGTTAAAATTGGCGGAATCACTATACAGTAAATGCTACATTCCTGGCTCAAATTATAAATACTTCATCAGTTCTCAGTTGAAAATGCACACACAGCATCATAGAATTAAATATATATATATATAACTTCCATATATATAGCTTCCAAGCATGCAAAGTTACTACCCACAAAAAAAGATGTATTACTCAAGGGATACTAAGATGCAATTATTAGTGACAAAGAGTGATGACGCTAGGAGTTACTCAAATCCCACTTAGTGAGTCAGGTGCTGCAGAGGATAAGTTTGGAAAGGCTTTGACTCTTTTAGCTTTGACTCTTTGAGCAAGCACTGTGAAATATAAATTTTCCAAATGGGCATGTGCAACCTTTAGGCCCCATTAATGTCTGGCACGTTTTGTTCTTTGAACTGGAAAGGATCCCAGCCGCCTCACTTAGCTTCTAACTTTGTTTTGCCAAATGAAGGATGATGGGGTGTCTACAATGGGCCTGCAAGGTGGAGTGTGAGGAGGAGTGATCGATGCGGAGGGCAGAGCTCCAGACAGACAATCCTTTGTGGTTAGGTGAATTATCCTCCTCCTTATCCCAACAGAGTAGAGTAGATGATGGCTGAAATCTCATCACCAGGGTGATAGGCATACAACTCCTACAATACTGGTTCTGATTATTTGGACCTATTTCCACCACATTACTAGCAAATGGTTGGCAGTGGTCTGCGGGAGATAATGACTATCCTTTATAGTCATTATACCCATTATGATGCACAACAAACATAATTATCTCAAGATCTATGTCAAGTTTGATTTTATGTTTCACAATATAAACCAAAGAAGCTCATAACAAAATGCTTCCTGCTGATATATAAAGTTCCTAGACTGTTCGCAGATTTCTCTCCATACTATACCCATGGATATAGAAGAGCTACTGGCCGACTTGGGAGGGCATTCAAAATCCAACCCCATTTTGTTTTATTTTCCACCAACTGGATTGCAAGTCCATTCCTTTCTTGGTGATTTAATCACGTCACTGCCTTTTATTTTTCTTTCTTTCTTTTTTTTTATTTGAACAAGTATTTATTTCTTAAAATGCACTTAAAGGATTAGAGCTGATATGTAATAGAATATTTAAGATAACATTTGGAGTTGTGTCAACGTAAAAAGGACAGCTGTGGTTACAATTAGCACATGCAATTTACTGCAAAGGTAAAAATACATTCTATCCTCTAAACAAGCCTTCCAAACGGCAAGTGAACATGAAAGGACTGCACTTAGATGAAAATGGGATGCAGCTAGGATATAAGAGACACACCCAATGCTAATCACTGCACTGTCCTACTAACAATTTGCACATTTAGTTTTAGAGTATATTCAATAAACATACACATTGAGACCAGAGAATTTTCAAATATCTACCTTTTTGTTTCTGACACATCACATTATGGTATTAATGTAACAGCCTTTGAAACCTGGAATTATTATTCAGACAAAGCTTGTGTTCAAGCGATAAAAAAATATCACTATCAGCCATAAATGCATCTCATCACAACCCATCAACTTTAATTAAATGGGTAATGAAGTTAAACTAACCAGTTTGTAGAAACTATCTACTGAGGGAAAAGCCCTTAAAAATTTAGAAACAACTTTGGGAGGCCCAGAAGGGCAGATCACGAGGTCAAGAGATCGAGACCATCCTGGCCAACATGGTGACGTCCCGTCTCTACTAAAAATACAAAAATTAGCTGGGCATGGTGGTGTGCACCTGTAGTCTGAACTAATAGGGAGGCTGAGGCAGGAGAATCATTTGAACCCCGGAGACAGAGGTTGCAATGAGCCAAGATTGTGCCACTGCACTCCAGCCTGGTGACAGAGTGAGACTTCATCTCAAAGAAAGAAAGAAAGAAAGAAAGAAAGAAAACATAGGAACAAATGAATAACCGAAGAGCTCACCCTGAGCTCCCACCTTTTAATTTTTAATGCAATGCATATGAGAATATCATGCTAATGCACATACTAGCAGTGTATACGATAGAAAAAACAGATTAATGCAACGGCTAATACACTAGGCTCTGTAAAGTTTTGTTTCGACTTCATCTGTCTGAATTCTGTTTATGAAGTCTGAAAAGGCACTGCTGCCAAGGACCAGTCCAAGGAAGAATTAGGCATAAGCTTGCTCGTTCATACCTTCTTTGAAATCTGTGACAATGCCCAATTTTAGGCTAACCCTGAAACACTTGCTATTTTATGATTCCATTTCTTTTAATTTACAGAAAAGTCCAAACATTGGTTTAGAAAGTAACCTTATCTGAGCATATAATCAACAATACCTATAACAGAAAGCTAGCCCAGTAAATTTGATATTTTACTCATCTCAACAAAATAAAACTTTATTGAAACAAAAATGTATGATTTAGAAATATGCTCTTAACAACAACTGAGCAAAATTAGAGAGAATGATGTGGACTATAACAGAATGAAGGAAGATCTCTCCTGCTTGATTTACTTGGTCGATAAATGCCAGTAAACAGAAATATTTCAGGGAATTCAATACGATTATTTTACTTCTACATTTACATGGCATGGTTTTACCTAGTTAAGTGGGTAGAAAAAAGACATCTTTAATAATTGTCTGATTTCTGTTTCTCAAACTAGATGCTCTACTTTAAATATGAGCTTTAATAAATGTTTTGTAAGTGTACTTCACTGATCTTTAACTTCACAGTAAGAGGGAAGGTCTTTGGATGACTTCATGTGGTAAAATCCCTTATCAAGGAGTAAGGGTGAAATTAAATGAACAATTAGGTAGATAAGAGATATGAATATAGAACATATGAATGCAATTTGCTTTTTTTCCCTGCTGCTACTCAGATGTTAAATATGTTCCCAAGTGCTGACTGATCCATACTAAAAAAAATAGGATTAAAATTTTAGGATTTAATGGTACAAAGCATAAAGTTTTATAGTTTTCTAATAATTATTCAGTATTATCCCTTTGAGAGATGAGGGTAGGAAACCACAGACATCAGTAACTGACAAGTTATAATATCAACACATGTAACACTTGGATCCTTTTTTTAGCCCTAAAGGAAGCAACCGCAGTTACAGAAGCAGTGGTAACTAGTTTTGTCTACAAAAGGTTTCCTGATGTGTTAGTGTTACTTTAAATAACACTTTTAGACACTAAAGATTTAAAATAATAAAGCTACTAACTTTATTAGACTAGTTTTTACATAAATAAACCAGATTTGTTTCTTTGTTTACCTAAAATACAATTTATATGCATCAAAACATAGATTATTCTAAGACGTGCTCGGGAATGTAATTTTGAATATAAAACAAGTTTTATGATTTCTTTTCTCCTTAGGGCAGAAGATATACATTACATATTCATGCTCTAATATCTATTCATTTCCAGAGTGAATTTTTGCACAGTAATCATATATCTACATAATATGTATAAAGTGCTCTTGGAGATGGGGGTGTTCACTCACAGTATCATGTTTTATACACGCTTCAAGATGCAGATCTGTTTACATCATGGCCTCCAATGATCCTCCATTCTCATTCCCTCAGATCATGATTTCACACTGTATAACTGACCCTGAAATGTACAAACCTCACACTACAATATTCTTCATGACACTATTTGTTGAGAAAAGTTGCAGCTAAACATTACAATCATGTGACTTATTTTGAGAAAATGAAAAACATAATTGGTATAAATTTCCTGACACATATAGCAAGACAAACCCAGCCTTTGATGATCAGTGTAAACGGTGGTGATGCCATTATCTTATTGTGTGAATTTGGGTCTCTCTGTCCCTACCTTGACTTCTCTGTGCCTGATTTTCCTCATCTACTTTGAATTTGTCATTCCATTAACCTACTTTTGCCCTAAAGTGGGAATACTGGATATATCAGAATAAAGCATCTACTTTGTTTCATAAAGGAGATCATATATGTGAAAGAACTCTAAAAGGATCTGGCATTATGTAAATGCAGAATATAAAAGAAACAGGAAGTCTAATGTAAATAGTATTCTGAGAGTAAAATGTATAATTATATTCCAATTGTAAATGTATACCAAGTTTTCTTAGCTTTTCATCCTTCAATAACCTCTAGGAACTATTCTAAGCCTGCCTGGTTTCTATAACTTAAATATGACAGAAAAACCTGTTTGCTCTGAATTCACTTGATAGCAGTAGTCAACAACTAATAACACTTGCTAATTTCCACTTACTTTCTTAGCCCCTATTTTCAACCTCTGCCTCCATGTCACATGTGGTGGTTAGGGAACAGCATACGCACACTAGTGGCTTTAGCACTAAACTTGAGGCCCGGCTCACTTCTCCCCTGAAGAAGAAAGGTTTAAAAAATTTCTAAATCATAATGTGGAACTAAGTTCCACTCTATCTCAGAACTGCAAATATTAAAATATCATCTCTTTATTAAGTATCTCTATAATAAGGACATTTGCTAAGATCAAGATGTACATTTTTGGGGGGTTCTGTTTTGTTTTGGTAAATATTGCCCAAGTCCTCTTAGTTTGCTTCAAACATTTACTAAAAATAAGAAATTTTTCGTCTTTGCCTACTTAAAAATAAAAAAAGTTTCTTTTGCTGTACAGAAAGTCTTAAGTTTAATTAGATCCCATTTGTCTATTTTTGCTTTTGTTGCCAATGCTTTTGCTGTTTTAGTCATGAAGTCCTTGCCTATGCCTATGTTCTGACTGGTATTGCCTAGGTTTTCTTCTAGGGTTTTCATGGTGTTAGGACTTCTGTTTAAATCTTTAATCCATTTGGAGTTAATTTTAGTGTAAGGTGTAAGGAAGGGGTCCAGTTTCAGCTTTCTGCACATGGCTAGCCAGTTTTCCCAACACCATTTATTGAACAGGGAATCCTTTCCCCATTGCCTGTTTTTGTCAATTTTGTCAAAGATCAGATGATCGCAGATGTGTGGCATTGCTTCCGGGACCTCTGCGCTGTTCCATTGGTCTATATCTCTGTTTTGGCACCAGTACCATGCTGTTTTGATTACTGTAGTCTTATAGTATGATTTGAAGTCTGGTAGCATGAATGGGCAACCAACAGAATGGGAAAAAATTTTTGCAATCTACACATCTGACAAAAAACTGCTATCCAGAACAGCTTAGTTCTTCTACAAAGAACTAAAGCAGATTTACAAGAAGAAAACACACAACCCCATCAAAAAGTGGGCAAAGGATATGAAGAGACACTTTTCAAAAGAAGACATTTATGCGGCCAACAAACATATGAAAAAATGCTCATCATCACTCGTTGTTAGAGAAATGCAAATCAAAACCACATTGAGACACCATCTGACACCAGTAAGAATGGCGTTCATTAAAAAATCTAGAGATAGGGGGAGGTGGGGAGGGACAGCCTGGGGAGAAATGCCAAATGTGGGTGAAGGGGAGAAAGGAAGCAAAACACACTGCCATGTGTGTACCTACGCAACTGTCTTGCATGTTCTGCTTATGTACCCCAAAACCTAAAATGCAATGAAAAATTTATAAAAAAAAAAATCTAGAGATAACAGATGCTGAAGAGGATGCAGAGAAAAAGGAACACTTTTATACTGTTGGTGGTAGTGTAAATTAGTTCAACCATTGTACAAGACAGCATGGTGGTTCCTCAAGGATTTAGAAACAGAAATTCCATTTGACCCAGCAATCCCACTACTGGGTACATACCCAAAGGATTATTAATCATTCTACTATAAAAAGACACATGCACACGTATGTTCATTGCGGTGCTGTTTACAATAGCAAAGACCTGGAACCAACCCAAATGCCCATCATTGATAGACTGGACAAAGAAAATGTGGCACATATATAACATGGAATACTATACAGCCACAAAAAACAATGAGTTCATGTCTTTGTAGGGACATGGATGAATCTGGAAACCATCATTCTCAGCAGACTGTCACAAGAACAGAAAACCAAATGCCACATGTTCTCACTCATAGGTGAGTATTGAACAATGAGAACATGTGGGCATATGGAGGGGAACAGCACACACTGGAGTAGGTTGGGGGTGGGGGGATGGGGAGAGACAGTGGGGGACGGGGAGGCTGGGGAGGAAAAACACTGGGAGAAATGCCTGATGTAGCCAATGCGGGGGACAGAGACTGCAAACCACCATGGCATGTGTGTACCTATGCAACAATCCTATGGGATGTGCACATGTACCCCAGAGCTTAAAGTACAATTAAAAAATAATAATAAAATATAAAAATAAAAATAAATTACTCAAAACAAAATTTAAACTGAAGATATATACTGTATAAAGTGTTTCATATACCCAGTTCTCTGAAGTTTTAACAAGAAAGGTCAATGACATTTATATATATAAACATTAACAATTCACGGCTTTAAAAATGGCAATTTTTTAAATGCTTCAGATAGTTTGGGGGTTCCCTAGCTCTTAACATGGCACTCTGTTGAGTTTGTAAAACTGATCCTCAAAGAGGTTGTCAATAATAAGCAAAGTTTTGAAAACTAGTGAGATTACTGATTATTGATGAATAAAACATGAGTATTTTTAATCTAACAAGTTAAAGCTCTAGAATTCCTTTCTTCCAGTAATAACTGGCAGCATCACTATCAACGGAAGGAACCTAAGGAATATTGTGTACATTGATATACACGAGGCTACTTCTCATTTTTCTGTCAGATTACAAAAGCTGGGTTCATATGGTTATGGCCTATGAAGCTCTTTTTAAGTTATGTTAGCTGAAGTAAATGGTCTAGACCTTGCTCCTCCAATCTTTTATATTAACTGTCCCAAAGCCAGTTTGATGACTTTCTAATCAAAATTGATATAGCTGTGCTCATTAAGCTTATTATTTAAATATCTTATTTTCTATGTAGCAAAACAAAAAGTTTTACTTTACAAATTTCAGATAAGCTTTCTGTTTTTCTTCAGAGCAAACATCCTGAAACAGCACAAAGTCATTCAGTTAGTCTGAGGATAAAGTGAGTTTATGTAGTGCTTCAAGTGGAATCCCAGATATTCTGGAATGGAAATAGCTCATGTGAGAGTTCAGTTCATTTTTGTCCTTAAGGGTAAATGATCATCTTCAGAGAGTAGAGACTTTTTAAAATCTGAGTTCGCAGATAAAATAATTTTAGCTTTACTTTATAGGTACGGCTGAAGTGTAACAGGAACTGCTAGTCCTTCACTGAGGCATGCAGCTGCCTTGCCGTACAGGCTGTGCTAAGTGACTTTTAGCCATTCCTTCACCAATCACAGGCTGTATCCTGACTGTTTCAAATCTTTCTACTTGTCCCTCAGTATCTGGACCAAAAGAATCTGGGCAGAAACTTCCTTAAACATTTTCTCTTGTCCGGATCTCCAGGATTGTAAAATATGATCTGAAATCTGTTGTTTAAATCTAAGAGAATCTCCTTATTGACTGATAAAACTTGCTTTGACCTTTCAAAATATGAACTGTCTGGACTGGATTCATGCTGCCTGCAGTTCTGTTTGAAGTACTGCTGCCTGGGCAAAATGCCACCACCACCATCTATATGACCTACTAATTGTAGATCTTCTGGCCGCTCCTCTGAATCTAGCAAGGGCTGGGTGGACTCAGATCTTGAGAAGACCTTGACTGATGGAACTTGGTGTCTGCAGCCACTGTGTACCATAGTAGACTACTGGACAGTGCTTCAAGTGTTTTGTGAAGATTCATTTTCATCACTGGTAGAAATACTTGGCCTAGAAAATGACATGCATGATGACCCCCCAATACCACTGTTGTGTCCTTCAGTATTAATTTTTTTTTGAGACGGAGTTTCGCTCTTGTTTCCCAGGCTGGAGTGCAATGGCGCGATCTCGGCTCAACAACCTCCGCCTCCTGGGTTCAAGCAATTCTCCTGCCTCAGCCTCTTGAGTAGCTGGGATTACAGGCACACGCCACCATGCCCAGCTCATTTTTGTATTTTTTGTAGAGATGGGGTTTCACCATGTTGACTAGGATGGTCTCGATCTCTTGACCTCGTGATCCACCCGCCTCGGCCTCCCAAAGTGCTGGGATTACAGGTGTGAGCCACCGCACCCGGCTCAGTATTAATTTTTTCCTTTTTGAACAGGTCCAGTGATTTTAGATCTTCCAGAAAAGGCTTTTTGTCATTCACTTATATTTCCACAACACTTACATCAGTGAAATTGCCATCTGAATACATTTGATCTTTTGAATTAAAATTGTGCCTTGGAGGAGTGTGAGGTAACCCCTGGGCAATATGACTCTTTGAAAGATCTGGAACATTAGGCTAGATGTGTTTTTTAATTAGTCTCCCTTATTAAAGCAGAACAACACTCCCAGAAGAGTTGTCACGACGAATGCTAAACAAACAGGCATGACTATGGCTCCAACTTCTCCTTGAGCAAACTTTGGTGTAGTAAAAGTGAATTCTGGACCATCCTTCCCACCTTCATCTGTGTATGCTGTCATTCGTACCAGGTACAATGTGTCACTACTCAAAGAGGACAATGTATGTTCTGTGTGGGAAGAATCCACATTCATAGCAGTTTCATTTCCAATGATGGTTCTATAAAATATAGTATCCTTTCTGATAAATCCATTCTGAACATCAACAGGAATTTGGTCCCACTCTAAGACAGCTTCATTTTCCCCTACCTTTTTTGTGTAAACCGTAGGTCCTTTGGAAGGTGGAGCTTGTTTAAGGTATGCCTTTATGGATTCAGGGCTTCCTGGTCCATCAGCATAACTGGAGTCATTGTTATCAAATAGCTTTTGCTCTCTACTAAGTTCCCTCTTAAGTGTGACGCACAGTAGCATCTTCTTGTTGCCAGTCTGCAATACGGGGTGATTCATCCGATAACACACACCCCTCAAGTACATGTTTCTTTACAGATTGCCCTGGAGTAGTGCATTCTACTCAAAGCATGCTATCTTTGGGGAATGCTTTAAGATCCATTACAGGGTGATGAGCTTAAAAGTCACAGATCACTGCCTTTTCTTGAAATGCCTTTCTCTTTTTTTTTTTCCTTCCTCCCTCCCTTTCTTCCTTCTTCTTTCATTTTTTTTTTTAAGATGGAGTCTCACTGTCACCCAGGATGGAGTGCAATGGCACAATCTCAGCTCACTGTAGCCTCCACTTCCTGAGTTCAAGTGATTCTCCTGTCTCAGCCTCCAGAGTAGCTGGAATTACAGATATGGGCCACCATCTGGCTAATTTTTGTGCTCTTTATTTAATTTATACCCCACCTATCCTTCCTTTCCAATGTGAGTTCAATTACCTCTAACTAGGTGAATTATTACCTTCCCTTAAATTCAAAGACTAGTCTATATATGGATGTCTTCCAAATTCACATATTTAGCCTAAATCTTTTGAGCTTAGAACCTGCATACCCAATTCTTACTTTATGTCTCCACTAGATGTCTTACAAGCATCTCAAATAAAATAGAGCTTTTTATCCCACTCAATCACCATATGGTTCCACAGCCAATTCTCTCCACCTGAGTAAATGTCAACAATATCTGTCCAGCTGTTCAACCAGGAACCAGAGGTCATTCTTGAAAATTCTCTTCCCTCATCTGTACTTCCAACCAGCACGTCTCATTGATTTTACCTTCAAAACATATCTTGGATCTTTCATCCGATCCTATTTCTATAAGCCATCATCATTTCTCACCTGCATTAATGTAAAAGCAACCCAGTTACATCCCATTCTTCACCCAGCAAAGTTAAGATCCTAACACATAAAACTGATCATATTTCTAACCCCTTCTTATGGCTTCTTAAGGCACTTAGGATCAAGTGCAAAGTCAATGAAGAGGCTCTGAGGTTCTAGCCCCCATGTCTGGCCCCCTCTAGTGCTTTTTTCCCTTGCTCACTATGCCCCAGTCCAGCTGCACAGGCTGTTTTTGCTTTTTTTTTGAGACAGAGTCTCACTCTGTTGCCCAGTGGTACTGGGATATGCAGTGGCACTGTCTTGGCTCACTGCAACCTCTCATTTCTGGGTTTAAGCAATTCTTTTGCCTCAGCTTCCCCGAGTAGCTGGGACTACAGGTGCATGCCACCATACCCGGCTAATTTTTGTATTTTTAGTAGAGACTGGATTTCACTATGTTGGCCAGGCTGGTCTTGAACTCTTGACCTCAGGTGATCCACCATCCCCAGCCCAGCTGCACAGGCTTTCTTTCCACTTCTCAGCTGAACGGAGATCTACCCACCTCAGGGTCTTCCCTTACTCCATTCTCTTCTACTCTACTTAACAAATCCTTTGGCTGATTTACTCTTATTTCTCCTTTATAGCTCATCATAAACATCATTTCCTAGAACAAGCCTTCTAGGACCTTCTTAATATACTCATAGCGCCCTAGACAACGATTGCTGTTATAGGTCTATTTCTTTCATATTTTACCTAACTGATTTGTGTGAACATTTGCTCCAAATCTGAACTTCTCTCTAGATGATAAGCTGTCCTCTGAGGACAGGACTCATGTCCATCCTATTTCCTATTACACTAACACAGTGCTTGGCAAGTGTTTGTTCTTAACATAGTTATTGAAATAACAATGAATGAATGGTGGGGTGGGCTGGGTTGGGATGTAATGACAACTCTCCTCAACAAGGAGACAGAAATGTAGGAGTCTCGGTTCCAGCCCTTCCACTAACTAACAGAGGGACTTTGGGGAAACCACTTCTCAGAGCCTCAGTTTCTAGATCCCTTAAGTAAGTAGCTTAGCTATAAGAATCCTAAATTGGTTACATTCTTTGTGGAATGAGGCACAGCATAAATAAAGATATGAAGTCTAGGTGCCATTTCAAGCTCCATACTTCTTGGATTCTTAGGCTATCTAGGCATGAACCAAACCAAAGCAAATGGGAGAAAAACTACCCCTATAAAGTGACATAGCGTATCAAGCACGTATCTATTTTTTCTGACTGCATTACAGATGCCTTGAGCAGATATTATTATGTTAAGAGATGGCTTGGCTATTGTTTTTCAGGGAGTACGGTCCATTCCTCAGCAGTTTGCTCACATATAGAAAAAGTAATCCATCACTCGTGGGTAAAGAACAGCATTTTCCCAGTGGTAATTCCATTTCCCATTCAGTTTCTCCCACGGAACAACAAAATAAAGCTCAGCTTAGCTTAGGGCCGAAAGTCAACAGGCCACGTCTGCTCTAGATCTGGAACTCACAGCACAGAGTATACTTGGCCATAATTCAATAGATGGCTTTTCAGATCTCTTTCAAAGGTTACCAGCATTAAAAATATGGCTGTACATGAATTCTTATTGAGAGATCATGATTAACTGAATCAAGTTACCTCAAATTGGCCAAGTTATCTCTTCACAATTTAATGACTTTTTTTTCACAAATTAGTATGACTTTCGTGACCTTTAAAGTCCATATTAAAATTTTTTAACCTTACATAATAGACAATCAACAATTACTCTCCATGAAAAGAAGAAAGCTGCTATAAGAAGTTACAGTTCATAATCCTTTATAATCCACTTAATAGTAAATGGTCACATCCCTCAGCATCAAGTCATGGAGAGCTGACATAGCTGCAATTTTAAAGAGAAAATTAGGAAGAGTGAACGAGAGGAGAGAAGGTATTTATACTTCAGACAAGCAGTGGGGCCTGAATGATATCTGGAGAACTTTTGAGCCCTCATATCCTATGATTCTTCTAAGAAATGAAATCTGTTTGCTTTATAATTAAATTTTTATTTATTTATTTATTTTTGAGACAGAATCTCTCTCGCCCAGGCTGGAGTGTAGTGATGTGATCTTGGCTCAAGCAATTCTTGTGCCTCAGCCACTCAAGTAGCTGGGACTACAGGTGCCACCATATGTGGCTAATTTTGGTATTTTTAGTAGGGATGGCGTATCGCTATGTTGGCCAGACAGGTCTTGAACTCCTGGTCTCAAGTGATCTGCCTGCCTTGGCCTCCGAAAGTGCTAGGATTACAGGTGTGAGCCACCAACCTGGCCGAAACTTTCCTTTCTATATAATTAACCTAAGTTTCTTAGGCCCCAGTGCCTCAAAGAGAACACAGCCAGGAATTGTAATTGTTTGTAGGTGTTTTTATAATTATCTTTAAGAGCTGCTGGGAGAGAAATAATGGACTTCTCCCATGGATAAGAGTGAGACCCATTTCCCAGAGCACGGAACATGGCATGTGTGTTCTCATTGCTGTACTTGCCATGCTCTGTTAAAATTACTTGTGCTGGTTTTTCTCCCACTCTGAGCACAGGGATTAGATCTTATTCCTTTGTATCCCCAGCTTGTAGTGTGGTACCTGGTGGGGAGTAGGTGTACTATGATGTAAATGTCTGTTGAACAAAAATGATCTTAATAAGGCAGAAAAAATAAACCAGAATTACCGAAGTCGCCCCATGCTTTCTGAGCTGTTTCCATGAGTTAGTGAGACCATGCTGCCTGTACTCAGCCAGCCATCAGTATTTACTACATGTAAGGGCCATTTCTTGGGGTGTCCACCCAGCTCACAGTGATTCCTTGGATGGGCCATAATGTCAACATTAGGTAACACTAATAGCCTTGTCCTCAACCAGATCAGATAAAGGGGCAGACACCTGCCTCAGTTTGGACCAATCAACTTCTCTCTCCCAGGTGCTTAAAATTTAGAAGAGACCTATAAAGATCAGGAGTGCAATGTCAAAACTATCAATGGAAATGCTCAGCGATAAACAGTGGTTCAGAACTCCCTTCTGCTGACATCTCTAGAGCTGCCCTGGTTCCTCTGGAGCATCAGTTGTATGGATCTTTTATTAAGAGTCCATGAGGCATTCCTGTACTCTTTTTGTTTTTTGAGACGGAGTTTTGCTGTTGTTACCCAGACTGGAGTGCAATGGCACAATCTCGGCTCACTGCAACCTCCGCCTTCTGGGTTCAAGCAATTCTCCTGTCTCAGCCTCCCGAGTAGCTGGGACTACAGGCATGCGCCACCATGCCCAGCTAATTTTTGTATTTTTAGTAGAGATGGGGTTTCACCTTGTTGACCAGGATGGTCTCAATCTCTTGACCTCGTGATCCACCCACCTCGGCCTCCCAAAGTGCTGGGATTATAGGGGTAAACCACTGTGCCCAGCCCCCTGTACTCTTACAATACATTCTCCTTTCAATTTAAGCTGGCTGGTGGTTACTTTGATTGGTTGAAACTTGACTATATAGCTTTGATTTTATTTTGAATATATATATTTCTTTATTTAACAAATATTTATACTAGGTACACAAAAATGGATAAAAGACAATTCTTGCCTTTGATATTAGCAACCAGTGAGGAATGCAGCTAAGTAAACAACCACAATTGTGGCATTACTACCTGATAAGGTTTGCCTGTGTCCCCACCCAAAACCTAATCTTGAATCATAATCTCCACAATTCTCACATGTCAAAGGAGTGACCAGGTGGAGGTACCTGAATCACGGGGGCAGTTTCCCCCATGCTGTTCTTGTGACAGTGAGTGAGTTCTCAAGAGATCTGATGGTTTTCTAAGTGTGTGGTAGTTCCTCCTGCATTCATTCTCCTTCCTACTGCCTTTGCTTAGGCAGTTGGTGAAGAAGGTGCTTTGCTTCCCCTGTCACATGATTGTAAGTTTCTTGAGGCCTCTCCAGTCACGCTGAACTGTGAGTTAGTTAAACCTCTTTCCTTTATAAATTACCCAGTCTCAGTATTTTCATAGTGGTGTGAGAAAGGATACACTACCCAAGGGATCTCAATTTAGTTTTTCTCCAAAAGCATGCTAAGAATACCTCTAATTCAGTTTCTCGTTTGTAGAATATATTTATATTTGTGGCAAACACACATTCTGGATCCTGATTTGAATTCTGTTTTGTTATAAAAATGAAACTCATACTGGTAAAAATCATGTAACTTGCGTTAGACAAAATGTTAAGAAGTCTCCCAAGATTTCCGCCCCTGGTTTACAGACAGATTTCACTTCCATAATTAGGCTATATAATTCACAGCTGACTGTTAGACAAAGGGAGATGACGAGTTTGGGCCTGACCTAATCATACAAGCCCTTTAAATCTGGGGATTTCACTTAGAACCTCAGTATCCTAAATCCTTAAATTAGTAGGTTGATGAATTCTAAACTGATTAAATTCTTTGTGGAATGCCTAGAGGTCACAGACAGGAAGTCAGAGAGTGGAAACACCGTTACTTACTTCAGGATGGAGGGTACTTCCTGACAAGGAATGTGGGGGACCTCTATGAGCTGAGAGCAGCCCCCATCTGAGAAACAGCAAGAAAATAGAGACTCGGCCGGGCACAGTAGCTCACGCCTGTAATCCCAGCACTTTGGGAGACTGAGGCAGGAGGATCACAAGGTCAAGAGATAAAGACCATCCTGGTCAACATGGTGAAACCTCATCTCTACTAAAAATACAAAAATTAAACAAAACAAAACAAATACAAAACAAACAAAAAATACAAAAGCTAGCAGGGCACGGTGGCGTGCACCTGTAGTCCCAGTTACTTGGGAGACTGAGGCAGGTGAATCGCTTAAACCTGGGCAGTGGAGGTTGCAGTAATCCGAGATCGCCCATTGCACTCCAGCCTGGCAACAGATCGCCCATTTGTCTTAAAAAAAAAAAGAAAAGAAAAGAAAATAGAGACTTCAACAAGAATGAGCCTGGAAGTGACTTTTCCCCCAAAGCCTCCAGCCAAGAACTCAGCCTGGCCAATGCCTTGACTTCAGCTTGGTGATACCCTGAGCAGAGAACTGAGCCATGCCTCGCCATGCCGGCATTCTGACCTATACAACTGTGAGCCAATAAGCGGGTGTTGTTTTCTGCCATTCAATTTGGGTAATTTGTTACACAGAAAAAAAAAACAACTAATACATAACACAAATTTTCATTTAGAAAACATGGTCACTAGAAATATAACCAGAAACATACCATTTGAGTGCTTACCAGGTACCACTGTTCAAAGCACTTTACATACATTCACTCATTTAACCTTTGTAACAAGTCTTTGTGGTAGTTAGAATTATTTTTTCATTTCTTCATTTTCTTTTGTTTTAGAAAAAGGTTAAGCAACCTGACCATAGTGACACAGCTTATAAATCACAAAGCCAATAAATAGCAAAGCTGGGGTTCAAAACCAGTGGTCTGGTTTCAAAACCTACCCTTAACTACGGTACTACAGTGCTGCCCCTTTTCATAGCCTTCAGAGCCAGAGATGTCTCCTCTCGTCTACCCAAGTTAAGATCCCTAGCCGAGTCTAGGCTATTAGGCTATTGCTTTTTAAGTTATTTAATCAATTTCCTCAGGGTAAAAATACACGCATGGTTCTAAGTCTGCTCACTCTATCAACTGCAGTCTCTCTACCTTCCATACGTAGGTTCTGGGCGTTATATCTATTAACATATTACCCATCCCTTATAGAGATATAATGACTATTAAATGCTTTAAAATTTCATTTTGTGTGATTTGGCAGGTAGAGTGATGAATATTACAGTGGAGCGTAATTCCCTCAGTACTATTCTGGGAAAGTTATTAGGGCTGTTCGTAAATCCTCTAGCTTCAATTTGTCTTCCTCTTTAAAGGTGAGCCAGTTCTTGATTAGCGGCATTTCCTTTTTCTGCATTGGTGATCATGGAAACACATGCTGAGACAGAACCTCTGCTGCCTGGGTATGTGAATGACCACGGTGAACAGAAGGCTCCTTGCTGGGCCCTGATGAGTATGTAAAATAGAAAGAAATAAACTTTTGTTTATTTCTTTGTTGTCTTAAACCATGAGTTTTGGGTCTGTTTGTTATTGAATTGTAACTGTGTCTACCCTGAGTCTGACATGCTCTATACAAGTTTATTCTAAAATAATAATTTTTTTTTTTGAGATGGAGTTTCACTCTTGTTGCCCAGGCTGGAGTGCAATGACATGATCTTGGCTCACTGCAACCTCTGCCTCCCGGGTTCAAGTGATTCTCCTGTTTCAGCCTCCCAAGTGGCTGAGATTACAGGCACATGCCACCACATCTGGCTAATTTTTTTTGTATTTTTAGTAGAGGCGGGGTTTCATCATATTGGTCATGTTAATCTTGAACTCCTGACCTAAAGTGATCTGCCTGCCTTGGCCTCCCAAAGTGCTGAGATTACAGGCATGAGCCACTATGCTCTGCCTATAATAACTTTTTAAAAAGCCATGGTTATACCTTATTCATAGTAACAAAAAACTGGAAACAACTTAAATGTCCACCTACAGGAGAATGAATCATCAAATTTTTATATATTCATAGAATGGAGTATTACTCTGTGATTAAAGGAATAAACTTTGATAAACACAACATGGATAAATTTCAAAAACGTTATATTAATGAAAGAAATCAGACACAAAAGAATAAATGCTGCTTGATTCTATTTACGT